GAAAGCACCCGTTGAATTCGCCAATGAAATTTTTCACCTTTCACGAGTTCGCACCAGACGAAAAGATCTCACGATCGAGTCCCCGGTCCCCGCGGACACCTCGGCAGCGTGAATTAGTTGTAACGATGAGAAAACAATTGTAGAATATAATAGAATTCCTTTCCACTTTTGCAACTTATTTCTACTCACTGTTGCCATTATCGTTATATTGTTATTTTACATATGTAATAACGTGGCATATCAGTGCTTCAGAGATAAACAACATTAAGTCGCATTTTTTAACAAAAACAAAACGTTTACCTCTGAATCACTGACGCACTCTATATAAAATAATATTCACATTTAATTACGATATAATATTACGATATTATATTCACATAATACAATATTATATTTTATAAATATCTTTACACCGTAATAAAATAACAATATAATGATAATAGGAAATAGAAAGAAATTTCTAACAAATGCTACTTCGTCGAGGAAGGTTTGGTCCCCGGATTCCTGGAGGGAACTGGCACGCTGAAAGACGCGCAGAAACGGGATACTCTGTATGAAAACGCAGCGTGACGTTTGGCTTCGACGAGCCTTCACTACCGAGCGATTCGCGACAAGTGTTCTCGCGCGTTCCCGACGACGAAGGTGCCGACGACGAGCACCCGGAAGGTCGTCGCGAGGGACGCGGCGCGACGGTATTTAATTAACGCCGGATTATCGATCGCTCGCGCGCGGCCGCGCGAAAAAATACTCGGCGACGCACTACGCCACGCCGACGACGCGACGTGTGTTTGCGCCCGGGAGATAACGATTGCGTAATGCGGTTACGCGATAGTGGGCGGTCGCGTAATCCCGCCTTTATTACGTCCCGTCCTCCGCTCGCACGCGAAACGTTCGCGCTCGTTTATCGAACGACCGCCGTGCTAAAACGACGCGATTAGCATTTCCGTCGCGCACCCCTCGCCCCCCCCCCCCGGCAGGGCCGCGTGCGGGTGTGAAAAAAACGAGACTTGACTCTACGAGAGAGAGAGAGAGAAAAAGAGGCGCCTCGACGCCAACTGCATTCTCCCAAGAATGAATTTCGCGCGTTAATCTTCTTAAGGTTACTCGATCCATTGTCTATTCAGGCTGTTCGATCCATTGTCAGAACGTCCCGTTTGATTTATCGCGCGGCAATTAGGACATTAGCAGAATTAATTGGGGATGATGAATCGCGCTTTGCGGCACCGTTGTAAAGCACGAAAGCTGAAACCGGAGGAATAAAAAATACCGCAAACGAGCATTAGTCTTCCTACGTTGCATCTTTTTAATGCAAAATGAAGGAGCCAAGATGCGCCGAGACGCGGGCCATGTGTTTGGTCGGCTGAGGTCGAGTCGCGGGAGCAGTTAGAATTGTAATGTCCCGGTTGATCGATCGTAGCAATTATAGAACTTTAACGAAAACAAGGAGGATAATAATACACGTGTAACTTGATATCACACATAGAGGAAGACGATGTTGAAGCACGTGTCTCTCGGGTCCTTCGTTCTATATTAAAGAGAGATTTAATAGGAGAAGATTCTCTCTTCGAGATTCATTCTTAAGAGATTTTTTCCCTCTCATTCCGCGTGGATCGAGTTACCGAATCTCACGGCAACGCTATAAATACGTACGGATTCCGTAAAGCTGAAAAAAGTTTGTGTCACCGGCGACGAACGCGGCGGGATCGGAATTTATTTATAAAACGAACATTCCATTCAGAGGCCCACGAGATAAATCCTATCCTGCAGAGATCGCCCGATTTGATCGTTCGTCCCCGCGTAGCCCAAGTGTTGAGCAGTCTGCGCCCTCGAAAAACCGGTCTTCGCGTAAATTATAGCGAATTCGTTCAAAAAAAAGTCGAAATAGGCGCGTAGACAACATCTTTATACTGCCATTGCGACAAACATATGATCATATGCCTCGGTGGTCGAATTGGTGAGACGCCCGCCTAGAGTGCAAGGAGGTCCAGGTCCAGGCTCGAATCCTGGCTGAGGTAATATTTTTCGCGATAAATTTTCTGCATTATTAAAAATGCCAGGTGTGGTCAAGAACACACTGACGTTGTTAATTATCGCTGGCGACATTGGAGAATTCTTATTAGTCGGTTGCTAGCCGCTAGAGTCCCTCTGATCAGAGTCTGGCCAGCGGGCCAGTTTCGACAAAATGATGCGAGGGAGAAAGAAATACATTCCCTCTCACTCTGCATACAGCATATGCGTCATGTAGAATGAGAGATATATTTCTTTCCTCTCGCATCATTTCGCCGAAACTGCCGGTTGGCCAGATTCTGATTAGAGGGACTCTAGTGCGCACTGATTGCGAGTCGTTTACAGTCAGTTCTCATATTTAGGGATCGCCTTAAATGCTCTTTCAAGTGCTTCTTAGCCAGTAAAATGATCTGTGTGGCATTCGTACGGATCATTTCTTTGGCTAAGCAGTTTGTGGACTTGAGATGACCGCAAATATAAGAAGTAGATTCCAAACAGGCCTTGGTGTGCACTCGGTGCGCACTAGTGCAAGCAATCGAATTCGCTATCAGCCTCGCGTAGCGCAAACAGATAAATATCGAGACAACCGTTCGTTCCACCGACGCGATCTTTCTTTCCTACAGACAGACAGCAGCATCCCGTTTCTCTCGATGATACAACGCTGCAGGAAATTCACGCGGAGACTCCCGAGATCCCTGTACGTTTACCGCGGGTCGCGCTGCCAAAATTTTTTAGGCGAATCGGCACGTCGCGTCCGGCGACCGATCGAACGAGCTCTCGTCGTGGAGAAGAGCCAGCGGCATCCGGCCGCTCGGCGATCGATCCTTCGCACCTTTTCTCCCGTGCGTTCGAAACCCTTTTCCCACGTACGCACGCACTCGTCCCGCGTATACAATCTTGCGACACGACACGGCGCGGCGCGGCGCGGCGCGGTCCGCTCTCGCCCGGAGTCGGGATAACGATCGTCCGAAACAAGTGCGTCTACGTCATCGGAGGCGCGTCGGAAGGAGCCTCCTCCCTCGCCACACCCCTGCCGTCGCGACGGCGACGAGGACGATGCGTCCGCGGCGGCGGCGGCTGCTCGTGCACGTGCGTCGTTAACGCGCACACGCGTCGCCCCGGCATCGATCGCGCCGCCGGGAAATCCGCGGCACCCGGGAGAGAGAGGCACACACCGCGGCGACGTCGCGGCGCCCGCGGGATTCGCCACGACCGTGAAATCTCATCCCCCGATTCTTGGCACCCGTTCAACGCCGAGACGCCGTCGGCGACGTTATTAGGTCGACCGCGACACATTCCCCTCCCGCGTTTGCTGCAACCGGAGTCGCATCCGAAAACGGGGACATCCCTGCGGGATCCTGCGAGGACCGGCGGTACCAAAGACGCTCTCCAATCTCGCGCACGTACACGCATCGGCATAAATGCTGTCTCTATCCTTGTGAGGTGCACGCACACAACTACAGGGACTCTAGTTGTGTGCGTGCACCTCACAAGGATAGTGACAGCATTTATGCCGGTGCGTGTACATACACGAGTCGGAAAGGAAACTCGGGTGGTCCCCGTGAGACTCGAACCTCGAGCGGTCCAGTGGACTCTCGGGAGGCTTCTTATTATTTATTCGTTTTTTTCTTCTTTGCGCGAGGCTCGTGCTCGCGGCCGGTGCGGCACTGCTCCCGCGAGGGGTGGCCCGGACGAATGCGTCAACATTGTTCGCGTGTTACGCCGCGAGAACGCATGCGCCTGTCGACGGCAACAAGTTGGTGTCAGCACCGACCGTGCCCCGGAACGCAACGGCCGCGCTCCGGCGGAGGAAGCGCGGAGAAGCGTGCGATGGCGTGACGACTGTATAAACGGCATCGATAGGCCAAGGACAGACCGGCGACGCCGCCGGCGGGGTGGCTTCCTCCACCTACGACCGCTCGAACGGAGAACATTCGGCGGACACCGTCCCTGTCGGCCAGCCCCGTCGTCGCGGCTCCATTTCGAACAAATTTTTGGCGCGTGGATAAGATTGAGTGCTCCAGAAACCTCTGGATTGACGTTGACTCTTTAAACGAACTCCCGAGAACGTTGGCGAAAAACGCCGGGGGCCTCCGAGCTTCAACAGCGGAACGTTCGCTTTACAGCGAACTCGGCTCGAACGGCAGTTTAATTTACTCTCGAAAAGTCAATCAGTGGAGATTATCACTGGCAACAGTGAATAGGCACTAATTTCCAATTATAAGTGTACTATAACTGAAAATCGCAGTAGTACACTTGTAACTGTGAATCAGTGACTATTCACTGTTTTCAGCGAAAGTCCACTGATTGACTTTTAGAGAGTAGCAATTATCTATGTAAGGCGTAATTATAAGTGCACGGAGAGAATTTCCTTTTAAAATTCACCCTGAAAATTATATAATCGTGAGACAACGCGGCATTTCAAGGAGTTTTAGGAGAATTTTTTTTTTTTTTGAAATTTTACTATACATTTTACTAGTAATTACGCTTATTAGAGATAAGTCCTCTATTATGAAATAGGATTCCAATATGAGATAGCAGGTTTTCAACGTCCAAATTCAATTGTAAATCTTTTGTCGCAAAGATTACACGATCTAGCAATCAATTCATGGTGCCAACAGATAATGCCTATTAATTTAACAGAAACTCCGCTATCTCACACTAGCAGCCTATCTCATAACAATAACTTTTCTCTATACATTTTACTAATACCCTGGCAGCACAATGCATTGGCTAAACACTGACTCAATACAACCAAATACTGGGCCGATGTTTAACCAATGTTTGGTCAATGCACTGTGCTACTATGGGTAATTATACTTTTGCTAAGTAGAAATATATTTTACTGGTAGAATGTGTGATCAAATTTCCAAAAACTCCCATAAAGTTGTCGAAGATGCCGTGTTGTCCCACGATCACAGGATTTTCAGGATCTCTCTCCGTGTAATGAATTATAAATTAGAAGTAATTAATCGTTGAACGAATTTTCTCACCGTCGGAGTCCGGCGAGCCCGTCTCCTGAAGCTCGATGTGCTCTCGCGCCCTGCGTCTGCTACTGCGACGCGTGACGGGGTCGAGACGGAGGCCGATATTGTCAACGTTGTCGATGTCCCCGAGGTCGATGGGGCTGCCAACGATGAAGGGCCCGGGGGCCTCCTGTTGTGCGCCGTCGTTCGCCCGATTTGCCGTCGGTGACGCGTTGTCATTACCGTTGCCGCTGTCGTGCAGGGATGTGTCGTCCATATGTGGGATGGAAGAGAGGTCCGGCGGGGTGAACGGTCGCAACGGCTCAGGACTGGGAACCCGGGGGTTCCTCCTGGTCGGTTGCATCGACTGTGCCGGCGCCTGCAATAAGATCGACGACGCGATCGATTTAGGGCCGGGTTTCGCAAACGTCGGTCAATTGCTAAGAAGGTTCATTGATCTCTGTCTCGTCTTAGCTAAGATACAAGGAGACACGGAGTTGACTCAACTCTAGATGGCAGTTAACCGACGTTTGTGAAACTCGCCCTTCCTCGTCATTTAAGCCAACGGCACACGATGCTACCCGATTTTTCCTACCTGAGTCCTGATTCCTTACGAGAGCCAATCAGGATTTAGCCTTAAGTATTAGTATCGTGTGCCGTTGGCTTGGCTCTACACCTGGCAGATGCGTACCCAGTGATGGATACGACGGTCGATTTCGGGATTTTCAACAAGTTTGACGCGAATTCATATTTGCGCGCGCGCGTGTGTATGCGTGGTAAAAAACCGACGTTGAATTTATTTCGAACCCGTCCTCATGAATTGCTCGCACTTGTACTTAGAATCTTCGTTTTCTTTCTCTCCAGCGCTCAACGTGTATTTATCTCTTTTTAAACTTGCAGAAACTTGGGGGCATTTTAAGCTACGCGAACAAGTTTTTAGTTTCTTAACTCTTTCATGACAAAATTGTTATTTTTTTTAAATAAAACATTAGCATCCCAAGAAACCAGAGAAGCAAAAATGTAAATGGGACTTATATGTCCCAATGATCATGAAAGGGTTAACCGACTCTTCATCGATTTTCACAATGCAATGGAAGATATGGCTCGCGCCTGAACTAAAAAGAAAATTTCCGTAGCTAAAAATATTTTGCTGCCATAACTATAAATGTTTGAACCACAGCAAACGGTTTACATACAATATGCACAGTAGAAAAGATTTAGCTGTCGCAACTAAAAATTAGCTGTCCATATTTTACAACTGAAATTTAGTTGCCACATGCAATTTTTAGGTACGGCTGCTACATTTTTCTCTCCGTGTAATCAAAGATGCAACGGCATTGCGTCGATACGCAGATCTCGCGAGAATCGTAGTCGTACACAGGCAACAATAGTGAGTGCGTATATCTAGAATATGTGGCGACCTTGAAAAAAATCGTACTCGCCAATCTCTCACGTAATACGTCACGGTTCATTCACCCGCGATTGTTTCGTCGTACATGCGTCACGTACGATGTCGTAGTTTCCTTCCAAGAAACTTCTCTGCCTCGACAAAGTAAAGCTGATTGAGTCTCGGCGACCTGATTTATTCGTTTCCTTGAATTTGCCGGAATTGGCGCGATTTGAAGCGAAATTGTTGAGTCACGAAATTGGACAAAAAGTCTATAAATATTCTAGACTCCTTCGACACAACTCCGATAATTCTGATTTCTATAGGACTTTTTTCAAGCGTGCGTTAACTCTTGCTGTAGATCCTCTATTTCTGGATTAATAATTCTATGTTGTATGTATTTCCATTTTCGACGTGTCTTCTTCGTCTGACAGAACAGATTGAAACGGAATGAGAAATGGAATTAAATTGGAACGACGTCTTTTAGCGTGTTCTTATATACACAGGCTCTGAGAATACTATAAAATATTGTAACATTACAAAAGCACAAATGTGGAGACTCTAAAAATATTCAATCGCGACATAGGAATAAAGTTTGAAACAATACTTTAACACAATGTAGCTCGCTACTTGTTTCTACTTAATAATAACTGCAGAGATAGTTTGAGTACTAGGTTTGTCGTTGAATTACAGTTGACAATACGAGTGACACGACGTCGATGACTCATGCCCGACGGTAGACTCGACAATAATACACCGCGCGACCCGCTGACGACACTGATGTGCAGATAACTTATGAGGGCATACAAATATATGCATATTTAATTTCTGTAACACATGCATATTTAATTCCTGTCACAACACGGAATGCAAAAATACAAGCGGCGTCATGCCAGCGGAACGCGGTATGCGTACGAGGTATCTTTAACGGTGAAGTAACGAGTGCTTAATTAAGGTGGCCTCGCGCACGCTTCGTTAATGAATCCTTAAGAAAAGTGACGTGTTACCCTCGAGAACGCGAGTCTGATTTCTGATGACAAACGAGCCACGTCCAGACCGACCGAACGAGCGCGAACGAGCGCGAACGAACGGGGCTTAAGGCCAAATCAGACTAGCAATCGTCGACGCGGATTAGATTGGAATTGTCTCCTAGCCAATGATTATCGATTAAATCACTGGCCGCTTTGCTCTCATTGGCTAGAGGACAATCGTCAATCGCCAATCCCAATCCGAGTCGGCAATCGCTAGTCTGATTCGGCCTTTACGCCGTTCGCGCGCATTAAAAAGCAAATTGCTCGCGTTCGTTCGCGATCGTCTACTCGAATCCGGAGATATTACGCGTGTCCGCGTATATATCTATTTTTTTTTCGTGATAACGATGACGAAATCTTCGGATATGGGATAGGCGAGATGTTACGTAAGACTCGTTCCGCTGCAACGAAGGTGCACCTCGTACGCAATTTTACGCGTGACGGAATCGCAACACGACACCCGGAGGTCACGTATCGCGTGTGCCACGCACGTGCGTCCCGACCGTGAATTGCCGATTGCACTAAACGACCGGCATATCAAACGTCCGTGTACGAAGAATAAGAATGAAACACACTAGACGGCGAAGAAGCGAGGTTGGCGAAGTCAAAGTCTTCTCTGGTGACGGACGCCCCGCGAAATCGCGATGACTCGTTTCGCGGACGCGCGTGTGGAAAGTGAAGACACGACGACAGCACGTGCGTTATCTAAACTCTCCTCGAGCTGCTAATTAACATAAGCAAATGTACAGAGTGTCGCGGAAACGCGCGGACAAATTAATAATGTTTTTCGACGAAGTCTGCTGTCTCTTTGGGCGGACGAGCGTTTCGGCGAATGCGTTTCTAACGCGGGGCTCACGTGGGTGTATCTTGCGCTTATCGCCGACTGCACCTTGCGAATTATGTAAGTTCGCACGATACTCCCAGCACGCTTATGAGCGATTGCTCGCCGGCAGATACGACGGATCGCTATTACCGAGACGAATTAACGAAGTCGTGATAATCGCGCGACGATACTCACTACTATTAAACGTGTCGTCCGAGGCTTATTTCTGAGCCTCGTCTTGACACCTCGATCGGTTCCCCGTCGCACTGATTATTGCCTCGCCTCGTCGTCAATCCACTGGCTCCGATAACTTCATCGCCCGGGAAGCTTTTTGAAGCAGGCCGCGCGATACCTGTCTTATTAAATATCCCGTACACCTTGATAGCAACATGTGCGTAAACAGTAAAGTGTTAGGCTTCGGGTTAATCTCCACTCGAATCACTTCGTTATCGTATCGTGAAAGCGATAAGAGACAGATAGAAGGTAGATTTTCGACGAATAAATTTTGTAACTCTTTATCTTCGCTTTCGTCGGAAGCTCGTGGATACGGAAGACCAGTAGTAAGAGCACGAGAGCGGTCAGACCAAGCCTCTGCCTTTAGCTGGAAGTTTGCTAAGCTCTCGACAGCTTACGGACGAGCGCACTCTCCCTTTACTCATTCGAAAAGGCGTTGTAAAAAAATCGCTGCCGAAAGCTTCATAAAAATTGGTATTCCCTAGTCAAGGCACTTCTCACGCGTGTGGTAAAATAAATTGTTCTTTTCTAAATCCTCTTAACTAATTTTCAAGAACAATAGTTCAAGGAAGAAGGTTGATTGCACTCCTCTCTGATTTTGTCTACGGCAGAAGTGCAATTCGAAAAGTAGTCAACTGCGATCCATTAAAGCCCATTGAAGTCTATTAAAGTTTCATTTAAACGTCAATAACTGCAGCGCACGCAGTTGCGGTGAATATCCAATGTTTTTTATCGCGGAAAATCATCGAGCGGCTAATAGACACGCGCTGCTATAACAATCGGGGAAAAAGGCACGTTTACTTATCACTGAATGGAAATAAAAAACGAGCGACCATCGGCGCGCACCGGTCGGCACCGCGGGTAACACTGCACTCACGAACCGTGTCGCGTTCGACTCCTTCCGCGAATTTCTGCCGATCGTGGGCGTCTGAAAGAGTCACCTTCGTTTATGATAACGGCATTGCGAACGGCGTACGTACATCATGCAAATGATACCGGGGCGACGACGGGCGGCCGGGAGCGGCTTTTTTCCGCCCGGAATGTCCAGAAGTCACTGTAGAAATTCAGCGTGTCAGCGACGAGGCACAACAGGAGTGAGCGAGACGATCGATAACGCAAGAACGAAGTTTCGACTTGATAAGATCGAGATTTCTATGGCGCTTGCCTGGCCGTCCGTCCGTACGGTTTTACCGAGACTGTCACGATGACTCCCCGCAACAGTCTTCGATAAGGCGAGCCTCGGACTGGGAAGGCCATTTCTCACCGATCGTATCTTGTCGCAGGTGGAATGAGAAAAAAAGAGAGTGGTTGCTCGTAACGTTTTTGTTTAGAAGAAGAATCGAATTGACTGGGCTTTGTGTTCCCAAAGAAGATACGTCCCCAAAGCTCTAAATAATTACCGAACGTTTTACTTCGCGTGCCTCGATCACTGCATTGTCAGTGCTGAAAAATATCAGGATTTCTTTATTAAAAAAAAGTGTAGAGCTACGGAATTCAATTCTCCGCTTGTATCATTGCGTGCCCTTCTTCTCGGGGAAAGGATACACGTCGACGTTTTTATTCGCTCGGGAGGGGAGGTGCGAGGCTCCCGGGGAGAATATCCTGAGAACAAAACGGGACGATATTTATACGACGCTGATAATTCGCCAAGAAGATTGATTTCCAGGGCCATTGATTTCCGGACGTCATGGAGACCACGGGGGCCCTTAATTATTTCTATTACCGTGATTGAACGCGACTTTAGTGACACCCGTCTGATACGTGCATCGATCGTGATGCGAGCCTTCAATCTGATAAGCTTGAAATTTCATTGATCGCCGAGTCGAACGATTTTATTACTCTCCCGCGTCCTACCGAGCAATTCGACGCGTTCAATAAATTAAAACGAACGCTCGGGATATTATCTCGACGAATAAATCCGACGGATCGTCTCTTGGCGCGTATCACGTTTAAATCTAGCGTCGATATATTACTTCGTTAATCTTCGAGAGACCGATGTCTACAAATTGCATTTGTTTTAAATGGAAAATTATCGCCCGCTAATTGCTCACTTATTCCCGGCGCGCGCGTTACGTTTAAGTACAACACGATAACAACGTAGGCGAGGAGGGAATATTAGATACACGCGCCGCACGCCAAGGACCCGCGGCAATTCCCGCGGAGACGCGTATGCATCAATAAACGCGGACGGGCCGCGGCGAGGGAAAGCGACGATGATGGAGCGCAAAGTGGTCGATGGTATCGACGACGCTTCTCCGCGACAAGGCCATCGTAGATCGCCAGAATCGCCGGCGGTAAAGAGACGTTAAATAATTGAATTTTATCGAGTTGATAATGAAACGGCGAAGCACGGCCCGTGCGTCATTTCGCCCGCCGCTCTCGCGGATGCATTATGAAGGAATGCTCTTTCGCCGGGGAGCAAGCGGATTATTAGGGCGCCCATTGTGCGCCCGCCCCTTCGGAAAAGAGCGTCACGCGCCGCGAAAGTCACGTCGGAGGGAAATGTCGGTTCCCCGGCGTGGTGCCCTTTCGCGCATCGTTTCCGCCGCCGTATAATTGTCTCGTCTCCACCGCGAGCTATCGCGATCGCGAATTACCACTCCCGCGCTTCCGGCACGACGCTAATTAGCGCGGCATGATAAGGAAAAGTGCGCGGTGCTCTCGCCGCTATTATTGAGCGTCGCCGTTCCATTTTTCGCGGATGCACGGAAAGAAAAATGTGGCTGTCGTAGCTGAAAACTGCATGCGGCAACTAAGTTTCAGTTGTAAAACACGGACAGCTAATATTTAATCAAGGAACGGATGCTTCGCCAATAGTAAATTAACAAAAAAGATTCGTTGATAGTTCGACCGCAACTGGCACAGATTTATTAGAGCGGCTACGTTTCGACCCTAAAGTTTGGGTCCTTTTCAAGCCTACAATATATCTCGCAACACTAGATTCATGTCTAATGTTGCAGGTCGATGAGAAACAGTACAGAATAGTCGAAGATAAAAAATGTATCGTTACAATATAGTCGTGGATTGATAAAGCAAATCGACATGTTGCCGCTTAATATCGGTAACTGTTCGTTAACTATCTGTTTCGCGCAGCGGCAACATGTCGATTTATTTTATCAATCGACAGATAGTTAATATCGGTAACTTTAGTCATGGCTTCCGGATGGTCTCACAGAGACTCCCAGCCTGAAAGGACCAGCGCAACGCGAGGGAGCTCAGTCTCACAGAGACTCCCAGCCCTGATGAAGCAGACTGCAACGCCTGCGAAACGTCGGCACCACACTGCAAACAGACGCGGCAACCATCCGGAAGCCATGACTAAAGAAGACAACAGCCGCGAAAGCCTGAAAACCAATATCGGTAACTGTTCGTCACGATACACTAAACGACACGGACGTTACCGATATTAACTATCTGTTTCGCGCAGCGGCAACATGTCGATTTGCTTTATCAATCCACGACTATATTGTAACGATACATTTTTAATCTTCAACTATTCTGTACTGTTTCTCATCGACCTGCAACATTAGACATGAATCTAGTGTTGCGAGATATATTGTAGGCTTGAAAAGGACCCAAACTAAGGGTCGAAACGTAGCCGCTCTAATAAATCTGTGCCACTTACGGTCGAACTATCAACGAATCTTTTTTGCTAATATTTAATTGTGATAGCCAAATATTTTGCTATTGCCCGAATTATGTTTTGCCTCAGTGTAGCCCCGTATAATTTTTGAACCGGGGGGAACGAGGTCGAGCTAAGTTCTTTGTGTCGGAGAAAATGTATTGAATTTTTTACCCTCGGATAGGCCTGAAAAAGAGTCGCTGTTTCCCTTTCAGTGGAGAGCAGTAAAGGCAGTAAAGAGGCCAATGCTAGTGCAATCAGCAGAGGTTCGGTAGATCCTCTTCGGCCTAAGAAGTTTCAAAGAGGGTGAATATTTTATCACATTCTGTTCGAGGGTTAGAATGGGGCTAAACACGATTTGTTTGACTCCTCTGAGATTCGAATTGGAGTTTCAAACGGACTCCGAGATCCAAATGAAGACAGAATAATTGAGGCCCGTTCTGGGACCAAATGCTCGACTCGGGTGTGCCTATTGTACTGGGTGCGACAGCAAACCGTTTGCTGTGGTTTAGAAATTTATAGTTACGGCAGCAACATATGTTTAGCAGACCATGATTAGCTAACGGTTTTTTTTTTTATCAGTGCGTGTCGAATCGTATCGAATCGTCGCTGGTAGCTCGCGACGATGATCTTCGCACGGAATATCCGGGCCGGGCGGGATGAAACGGTCTTCCTTTTAATCGAACGGCACATGATAACACGAAGGCGCGCCTGTCAACTTGGCCGCTCACAAGCATTGATTACGTTCCGGCGGGAAGGTGTGTGCCGTGCACGTGCACGTGTTTGCGAATGATAATGACGCGAATCCATCGATAGCTCGCACGTAACGCCACACCCTTCCTCGAAATGAGGCCGCACGACCTTTGCCATTATCAGAGGGGCTGGCAGGGCGAAATTAGTCCAGGGTAAAGAGTCGCTTACTCCAGGACGAGTGGCGCGATCGTTACTCGGATATATCGGCGGCCCCGCGGGGAGACCGTAATTTTCTGTCGTCGCGACAGAATAAAATTAAACGTAATTAAGACAATGCAACACTCTCACGTCGCGATAATAAACGAAGTCCCCTATTATGAGATAGGCTCCTAATGCGGAGTTTCTGCTAAATTAATAGGCGTTCGTCTGCTGGTTCCACAATGAATTTATTGCCCTCGACGTGAAATCTGTTTAGTGGCAAATTGATTGTACATATAATCGTTGCGAGAAATGATTTGCGATTGAATTTGGACGTTGAAAACCTGCTATCTCGTATTAGAATCCTATCTCATTATACTTTGCACTACGTTAAATTCTTCCGTTTCAAAAGAAGTCGGGCGAGAAAGCGCTCGAATCGAATTCCCTTCTCACGGTGCGAGGATCGCACGTGGAGGACGACGACTCGCTTCTCGGAGCAGCGGGCGAGGATCAGAAAAATCGAACACGGGGCGGGAAGCGCAGACTTATCTTGGGACTGGAGGCAGGCGCGGGCGCGCGATGTGCACGCGGTAACACAGTCGTGCAACACTTACGAAACTTCTGTCGGCGACGATTATGTAAGCCGCCACCGCAGCCGTCGTCGTCGCGCAGCGCACGGCTTTACTACTCGCGCGCGTATTCCCCGAGCGGGCACGGAGCGCGAATCTAAATCCACGACGACTCGGAGGCTCGCGTGACGCGGACTCGCGGCGGCATGGCACGTCTCGCTGGTCGTACGGGCCGAAATTCGTGCGTGACACAGGCTTTTCAACGTACCGCGTGGCGATTCGCCGGGGAGGAGGCTTTTATCGGACATTTGGGTCAAGTATCCGCGGCGCCGGCCGCACCCCGTGAGACCGCACCAAAGTTCGCCGGCACAATCGCCTTCCTGTCCCGCCGGGTCTATCCCTCTTGGCCCGTCTCCGCGCGGCTAATGAAAAGCAATTGTTGACGCCGGGACCGCACGTCCGGCCCGATGATTGTCGGGCTGCGTTGTTCTCGGAAGAATGCGCGGAAGAGCCGCGTGCCGCGCGGCGTCAATCTAGGCGTCGTCCACGCGAGATCGACGCCATTGATCCTTAGGCCCGGCTTCGCCAAACGTCGCTTAATCTTAATCTTAGCTTAATTCACGTTTGTCTCTCTCTAAAGCAACAGTTGAAACGGGACAAAGAACAAATTAAGCTCGAGCTTAAAGTTGAGCAACGTCGGTGAAACCGGGTCTTACAATTAGATTCCTAACTGGAGATTACCGTTGGTCTCAGTTGGGCTCCGTCGGTGCGATATTCTTATAAAATGAGGGAATTTACTTTTTGTTTCAAATTAATGTGTGAAATATTAAATTGCTAATGTTGTTTTAATGAAAGCCTTTGTACGTCTTACAATTGTTGATGTAATTAGAATTTTGCGAGAAAGTATTGTTACTTTTACGAGTTAGGAACGTTAGGTTTCAACCGACATTAATAATTTTTAGGGGTGCTCC